GTATGCAATGTGAAAAATCTGCGGGATCATGTATCTTAGGTTTCCTGTGGTTGTCGGTCGAAGTTCCGACATGAGTAGAAAACGTAAAAACTTCCTTATCATTTGCACGAGCTCTCTTCTGGTTAGCAGGTCGGTTGTCCTCATCTTCATCGTCCGAAGATCCAAGTGCCTTCCTTTCCGGCGGTTATCAAAATTTCGAAACTTTTGAAGCTGGGGTTATCCGATTAAACGTAGAAGTGCCGACAAAAGACCGAGACACTCATCGGTATTGTGCCCTGGAGACTTATGGTATGCGCAGTACCGAGTTTTATCCAACTTGTCTTCAGGAGTTCTCACAGGCCTCGGGTCTGGGATAATTCCCTTTCCTTTTAGTTCCTCGTATATGGTGGCTGCTCCAGCGGAATAAACGGCATGATAACCTGTCCTGACATTGTCTGAATATTGATCACGAGCAGCCCGAGACTCTGGAGTATTTTCATATCCTTTAGAGGAGTTCCGAAATTGTGCTTTCCCAAAGCTCTTCTTGTTTTTCTTTTTAGCATCTGGTTCAGCCTTGCTTTCTTTTACCGAGAAGTCGAAACTGGGGACCGACATGGATTCTTCGGCAATAATGAATTGTTGAGCTCGTACAAGAAACTCTTGAAATGTAGCAGGCTTATTTTGACATAAGGTCCAACGAAACATTGAATTGGGCTTCAGTCCGGCAATAGCAGTTACTAACAAAGTTTCAGGATGACAGGGTTCCATGTTCTGAATTCGGTCATTGAACCGAGCCACGTAATCTTTAATAGTCTCGTCGTCCTTTTGCACGATGTTGGTAATCGACTCTTTCGGAATGAGACAAATTTGAGCACCGATAAAGTGTGACCGGAAAGCTGCACGTAACTGCTGCCATTTCCAAATTGAATGAGGTGAGAGAGTATAATACCATTTTTGGGCTCGTGGCCCCAGTGTAAGCGAAAACATCCGGCACCTCAAAGCATCTGAAGCCCCATGTAAATCCATCCAAGACGTATAATGGCCTAAGTGTGCATCTGGATCCGACGTCCCATCATACATGCCGATTTGCGGAATTTTCACTTTCACAGGGAGTGGCTCCGCAGTAAGTTCGGGGGCTAAAGGAGAATCCGCCTCGACAACAACATTTCCCGACGTCGTGACATGTCGGGGTGAATCTTCTTGTGACTTCTGTCGCGTTTCAAGTTCAGCCAAACGTTTACGGAGAGTTTCAATTTCCTCCGCACTATGCCTTGAAAGACGATTCCGTTCAATTTGGCGTCGTAAATCTTCGCGAGCGTGAGGTGCTGACGAGATGGGTCTAGGACGTGGGGAAACTCTCTGGTGATGAGAAGAATGACTTTCAGCAGTCATCTCCTGCACAGGGGGTTGATCTGGGACTTGATTGTTCGTTACAGGATTAGCAATTACATGAGCCTGTTCTTCTTGACGTGGAGAAGTATGATGAGGCTGCGACGTGGCATGTGACGTCGCTACATGTGTTTCATGGTCATGACGAGTATGAGTTGGATGTTCTGTGGGGTTAGTGGTTAACGGCATCGACAACGGCATCGTACTCGAGTTTCTAGGCATGGCTCGAGCTATCAATGAAGACAAACCTTGAATAAACTCCGGATTTTGAAGAAAGTTCGTGACATTCGTGACCGGAGGTGGCGGTGTTGTACGCCGTGGAGAATGGTTAGTCGATTGACTCTGGCCAGGGTGAGGTACATGATCTCGACCAGACTGCGACATGATGGGTTTGAATGCGAAAATGGCTTATAGGCGAAAGTTAACTTAAAAACATAAGCCCCCCTTCCTATAGCGCCAAACTGTTGTCAAACGGGAATTAACAACGGTCTAATGGGAGTAAATTTAGAATACAACTCAATATTCAACGATAAGAACTTGTATAATGTAAAAAGAGATGGAATTTTTGGGTAAAGTCTTATTATTGTCTCTTGTTCTCTGGAGATTTATTTTTCCCCTTTTATATTTAAGTACAACATTTATCCGTACGGTAATCATTACATTTTGAAAGGTCAAAGGCGGCTCTTAGCTGCTTTTCTTGATAACTCGCCACTTGGACAAACGTAATGATGACTTATGCTGAGCTGTCGCCGCCTTACAATGTTGAGGTGGCATGTTATAGATATCGGTTCATCCAGTTATAACCGATATGTTGTATCCGACATGTGGTGACCGACATGTGTTGACCGACATGTGATATCGGTCAAACAATGGAGATGTCGGTTCTTGTTGAATCCTTCATCGTGCAGTCGTCTTGAAGTCGGTAGGAGTGCCACGTACTTGTATAAATTTTAATTATCTTCATACTGACCCCAATCGGCGTATTAACGTCACTTAGTTCGGCTTACTGAAAATGATATCAACAAATGTCTCGGTCCACTAACGAAAAATATTATTGAACTCCCTTATCATCCTCAAAAGTATATTCGAGACTCCAATTACAATACTCGAATTACTTCCCAATGTTTGAGATATAATGTCAATTAATTAATTCAATTACTGACAATCAAGAATTAATTAATATATTGTAAACCGAAGCTAGCGCTCATTCATCCCATTATCATTATGTTCAAACTTAATCCATCTGCATGTTTAACATAATAATCCTTCATGAACTCACTTCGGGGACATCATCAACTGACACACATGGTGGCCGTAAATATTATAACAACACATCCTACATGCAGTACAATTACCCAAAACACCAGGAATGTTGACCCAACTGAATGAATCTCGCCTTTAGTGAATCAAAATAATAGTTACTGCACATACATGCTTGTTTATATCATACGGGTTAAGAGAACACAATAATTAACTGATACTAAGTTTGTTTACGACGATCAGTATACAACAAACTACTTTTCTCTGGGATCTTGTTCAATATATAAATGTACTGTGCAACTAATCAATCAAGATCAATTGTACCGTTGACATTACAATTGTTCCGATGGTTTGTTCATTTCCATCTAGGTTGTGAACCAACAATTCTTGTATCACAAGTAACCGATAAAATGATCTTCTGTTCACCCGCTAATGAACCATTTTATCTAAGTGAAAATCAACAGAACATAGAACGTGTTTAATCAAACATGATTCTCATTCAACAAAGATAAAGTGTAATATCATCCAAAGTCAAGCTTTCAATATATAATACCAACATAGTTGTGAAGCGATCTTGTGTTGAAAGGTGGACTTGCATAGAGGGGAGATGCGTGGATCGTTACGGTGAGACAAATGAAGACGATTATAGCCTCATACTCGGGAACTGATTCCCTCTCCATCATTGCGTTTTAGAAGAAAATTAAAGGTAATTTTCGGAGTTCTGTACAAATCAAAATACATGCTATTACGTAATTTTAAAAGATGTCGATCGTTACAATCGCTACGTAAGCAGACGGGGTAAAGATTTACTTGATAAATGTTCTTTTTAATTTATTTATTTATTTTGGTTTATCTTGCATCGGCTTATAAACGAGTTGAACCGAGCTCGAGCACCTTAAAAGTTCGAGTTCGGATCATTAAATAAACGAGCCAAAAATCAAGCTTGAGCTCGACTCGTTTATCAATATTAACGAGCTGATCTTGAGCTTCAACGAGTCAAACTATATAAAATTATATTAAAATTCCCTTTTCGATCCTTAACGAGCCTTATCGAGCCGACCTAGCAAACGATCTTTTAAAGGGTTCGAACTCGGCTCATTAAGGCCTCAAGCTAAAGCCGAGTTCGAGTCGAGCTTTAACGAGTAGAGCTCGAACCGAGTCGAACCAGACTCGTTTAATTTAACAATACTAAGGATTTATTTGGTTAACAAATAAGATATCTTATAGCTTATTTAGTTAACTTATAAGCTTCCCGTATTTAAATAAGTTTCGTTTGGTAGGATAATTTTTTTTTTTAAAAGCTCGAGCTTATCTTATAATTTTCTTTGAGTAGCTTTTCAAATATGCTTGTTGAAATTTTTATTTCAGTAACCTTATAAGCTAATTTTACCAAATACTTTTATGATATATAAACTAGTTTTTCAGCTATAAATCATAAGCTATAAGCTCAAAAATTATTGATAAACTATAAACTAACTTATCAACTAATTTTACCTAACATAGCCTAATTATTGCATAGCAATACCTTGTGCTGTGAGTTAGAACATCTCCAATGTGACTTTTGACAATATAAAAATTCATCCATATCATCAACTTTTGAAAGTGTGTTACTAAATTGTTCTCCAATGTATCGTGTCATGAGCTCTTTCATGATGAGGTGAATAACATTTAATGTTGACAATGTTGAGTACACTTTCTAATATCTAACACCATGTTAAACATGATGTCTAATTAATTCACTTTATATTTGATTTAATTTTTTTTATTTTTCTTGTATTAATGATTATTTTTATTGGTCCACCTATACAAATAACTTTTTATCAAATTGAAGCATTAGAGATACACGTTTGATTCAAATTCCTACTCTTTTAACATATTCCTACATGTATTAATATTACAATCATTGATTGACATATGTTCAAAATCATTAACTTTCAAAGCCATAGCATTGAAGATGCTCTTACAAGTTAACCGTGGAACAGAATGTATCCGAAAGATTCCTACCATTGTCTCTATGGCACTACTTCATTTTTAAAGCCAAGATATTAACTGTACAACAAAAGAAATGCATAAAAGTCACCCCTCTCTCTCTCTCTCTCTCTCTCTCCCGATCTTCTCTCTTTAGTAAGCTCACAGAAAAACTCACTCAAATGCGACCAAAAACCCTAATCAAAAACCATACAGCAGACGATAAATATGCTCCCGGAGCTCGATCGGAGCTTAGTTTCGGCCGGTGATCTGTCGCATTCTCACGGATTGAAGAGTTTATCGATACAACCGTGAAAAAATTGAAGTGCTCTTTTTGTCGCTTTTTTTTATGTTTTTCGGTCCTCTTTCTTCTCCTTCTCTTTTTGATTTTGGCCAGTGCGAAGATGTATAAAAACAAGCTGCAGGAGCTGGCACAGCGCAGCTGCTTCAATCTGCCCTCATACGCCTGCATGAGGGAAGGCCCTGATCACGCGCCGCGGTTCAAGGCCTCCGTTAACTTTAACGGTGAGACATATGAGAGCCCTAGCTACTGCTCCACCCTCCGCCAGGCGGAACACTCTGCTGCTGAGGTTGCGCTCAATGCGCTCGCCAGCGGTGGACCTACTAGCTCTCTCGCCGCTAGAATTCTGGTGAGTACGTGCATTTTTTTTTTAACATTTTGATTTGAAAGATTATATGCAATTGTGTTGGTTTTCTAAATTCATTGTTGTTGATTATGTAGATTTGGATTTTTTTTGATGTTACTGTTCTTGGCTGCCGTGCTTTAATTTTATGGGCTTAATCTGATGGATTAGTGACAGGAATTAAAAAGTGAAAAAAATCGATGTAAGGCCACATCATTGAGTAGTGGTTGTGTAATTTTATTGAGCTATGGAATGAATTGAGCCTCTATTCATAAATTTTTTAACTAAAGTTGCTTTCTGGACTTTAGATGAAAAAAGTGACAGTAAGTGTGGATGGTGATTATCACTTTAATTTTATTGGCTTTGGATGACTTGGGCATCTGTTTGGCGGGTTCAGTGAGCATTCACCTCTGGTAGTAGTTAGTCAAGACTCACTTTGCTCTCTTGGCAACGTCAAGTCTCACTTTGCTCGGTATTATAATTTGATATCGTATGGGGTAATCTTGCGCATTTTGTTATTGAAATGACTATCAGTCGAGATAATTTTTCTTTGTTCTTTTCTTTCCCTTTTTTTCTCCAATTATGAATTTCTCTCAACGGAATTATGTATTATCAATTATGCTAGACTTGATATTTTTGGATTTGGTTTCCCTAAGAGTTCGGTGCTCTGGAAGAATTTTTAAGCCTTTTTTCTTGTTTCAAATGTCCTTTCTGTTGCATCATAAGCAAGTATTTGGACTAATATAAATATAGGTGATGGTTGCTAGCTTAGAATTGGTTTCCGATTGAAGCGTATGCAAATTGAAGAGTGCTTGTCTATAATTTGGTTTATATTAAATTCTATTGGTGTATTGTTTTTCTTGTGGGGCCCAACACACGTCTTTTATGTACCATAACTAACCTGTGACTTCAACTTATTTTGTGCTTTACACGCCACTCCGTGGACTGGGTCAGGATGGCATTATGCATCCGTTACAGTTACAGTAGAGAGATCAGGCTATCAAGGGACCAGTCCTGAAGACTTAAAAAATATCTATTTTTTACCCTTAAGACTTAACCCTTGCACAACATTAGAAACCCATTTGAAATTATATTGAGGCTGCAGCCTGAAAGACTGGCATTATTGATCTCTCTAACCCAATGTCTTATAGTGTATATCAAAACTTTAAATGGGATGGGACATGCCGTATGTGCTACTAGCAATTCCATTTCCGCAATATTGCGATACTGTTCTGGAAAGCTTTAATTCCAAGTATTGGATTTAAATTCTGTAGTTCTCTTCTTGATTTTATGAGCATCAATTGATGACACAAGCCTGGATCACGTGAAAGAATTGGTAAAATATTTAATGTCGAAGTTAGATTTCTTATACAGAAAATTAAGGTTTATTGCCAATCCATCCAAGGTCAAAGTGATCTGTTACTTTTTAGATCCATTCCCAATTACATTTTGGCTAACTATCTAGAAAGCTTGTATTGTTACTTGGCCTACCAAATGTGGGTAAGCACTTGTGCAAGAATCCAGGTTCTGTGATATTAAAGAATATTCATTCAACTCCTTTTCAATTTTGAGAATATCTTTAAATTAGATATTTGAAACATTTATTTTCAGTTAAATTTTACCAAACAATGTATTGCTGAATTGGAAGTATGCATGTCCAACAAAATTAAATTCATGGTTAATAAGTGGGAATATTATAATGCACCCCAAGGGGAGGTAAATGAGTTTATTTGTACCTAAGACAGATTACAAATCCCCAATTCAATCCCTGATCATTACTAGGTTCGTCATTACTGAAGAATTTGGGTTGGTTTATGTCCTCATCGTTTTTTATGATTTGGACGAGAATTTGACCATAAAGAAATTTCTTAATTGAGGGAAACTAAGAATTTATGATTTGGATGAGAAATTGACCGTGAAGAAATTTCATAATAGAGAGAAATTAGGAATTGGACAATAACCATTTAGAAGTGGTATTAAAGGGGGCTTGTGCATTTGGATGTGGTCAATATTCACCACTCAGCAATGCTATGTGACCTCTGTCACTCTTTCTCTACCTCTAAGCAAGTTGTGTAAAACGATTTATGTACCGTAGGATGAACTTTGTGAAGAAAAAAA